AGAGAGAGAGAGAGAGAGAGAGAGACTCCTGAGCCAGACACAGCACACTTGGACTTTGTGATCTTCCCCTACAATGCTCCTAAAACAGGGTAGATTTCACCTCTCTGGGTGTAGGTTGTACTGAACAGAGTTGGAGGCTCACTTCCTGGCTCAGGAGGGTCAGGTAAGACCCAGACAAGGACTTCAATGCAAGGCAAACTAATGGCTCCCTGTACAGAGGGTCCACTCACGCTAGCACATGGGAACTATAGAAGCGGTGATGTTATTGTCCCTGACCTCCTGAGTTCACACATCTGGTTCAAGAAGTGAAGAAGATGGTGATATTTGGGTTAAGAGGAAGAGACCATTCCAAGGATTTTATTAGAAAGATTTGTACTAATAGTGTTTAGACATGATATCATGTCTGCATCTTGTACTATGAATAACTACTATGAAGACAACAATATGCAATGTATTAATTATTGTAACTATCCTACTAACCTGTTTTGAAACTGTCTCATTGCTATTTCTTTCTCAATAAAATTTTAAAAAATAAATTAAAAAGGCCGGCCAAATAGCTCAGCTGATTAAAGTGCCTGCAAGCAAGGTTCAGCGGCCAGGGGTTTGATCCCCAGGCCTGCCATGCCCGTCCACCCCTGGGGCACGCTGAGACTGGGTGTGGTGGCACACACTTGTATTCCCAGCACTTGGGAGGCTGTAAACAGGCGGATCACTATGAGTCTGATCTAGTAGTGAGACCCTGAACACCTTGTAGACCCTTCTCTAAAATACAATAAATAAATAAATAAATAAATAAATAAAGACGTCAAGGACCATTCCTGGTGTACCTTTGGCGGAGAAGTTCAGCTTAGGTCGATCTCCAGTTAACTATCAGGAAATCAAGGAAAACAAGGCACTGGAAGCAGCTAGCATCTTGAAATGAGCTCAGTTTGGTTAGAACTTGGACAAGTCATTCTGACTCTCAGCCTCTTTCCTCATCTGTAAAATGAGATGATACCCGCTTCATAAGATATTGAAGCTGATAAAGTGTTGAGATGCTGAGGTGGTGATGAGAATTGGTGAAACAGTCTTTAACGCGGAAGGATGAACTGATTCCGCTGGTGCCAAACAAATTTAGGAGGCAGCTGGCTCCGTGAGGACCCGAAAGACCGACCTGGCTTTCCAGAGGACACTTGGCGCGCAGAGGCTGCTGGTCCCAAGGGGGGCGACGTGATCCCTGCAGGCTCCCGGGAGGAAGCGGCACATATCACACGCCCGATCGTGGCAGCTCCCGCAGGGGCGGGAACGGAGAGTCCCTAACGCCCGGGTCCCCCAGCCCCCTGCTCCACCTAGCCCCTCTCCTGCCCCGGAACTTTGGGCGTGCGGAACCTCGGTGGCGAATCGCAGGCGCCGCGGATCCGGAGGGCGATGGAGCAGGAACGAGGGCCCGGGGCTGTGGCTGACTCGCCGGAGGAAGAGGTGGGGGCGGCGGGGGCGACAATGGCGGCTGCGGGTGGCGCGGGCCCGGCCATCCTGCAGGTGGCCGGCCTCTACCGAGGCCTCTGCACGGTGCGCAGTCGGACCCTGGGCCTGGGGTTTGTTTCACCCGCTCAGCTGCGCGTGTTCCCCGTGTGCCGCGGCTCGGGCCAGCCCTCGGGGGGCGCGGACGGCAGCGGGGTCGGGGCCGAGCTGGAGGCCAACCCCTTCTACCAGCGCTACCGGGACAAGATCCAGCAACTGCGCAGGTGCGGCCCGGCCGGCTGGCGGGGAGCGGGGAGAGGGAAGGACTGCGGCTCGCGTCTTGGGACAGCCCTGCGTGGAGGACACTAGTACTGTCCCCATGTGCTGATGGTGTTCCAGACTCAGGATCGGCCACTTGCCCAAGATCCACAGCTGGTTAGTCCCTGCAGAGCCCCGGCTCTCTCCACAGTTGCCTTTGTGTCTTAGTTCTCAAAATGTTAAAGTGGACTTTTTGACAGCCTTGTGAGGCAAGCAGCTCAGAGAAGACCTGTCCCCATTATAGAACTGGAAAATGTTTTCCAGAGAAGGGTCCTGACTTACCCAAAGTCGCGTACTGAGTAAGCCTCAGTGTGGCCTAGAGCTCAAGTTCCCGGGCTTATTTAGACGACTGGCTGCAAGAAATGAGCTTGAGCTTGAGAGAACTGCCGCAGCCTGTCACCGGGGGCATTAGTCAAACGCTCTCACTAAAATAGGAAAACTGAGGATGAGAGAAAGAGACTTGCCAAAAATAACACCCGCACAAAGCTTGGGGTTTGTCTGACTCAATTCAGAGTTTCTAACACTACCTCTCAGCTTCCAGAGGGAAAGGAAAACAATTAGAACAGGTTTGAAGAGGATGTAATGATGGGAATTGGGGTCTGAAGAGTTGGGCTGGGAAGAGCTGAAGGAGATCAGAGGTGAAAAGGGAGCTTAAGAGAGAATTTGGCAGGGTAGGAAGGCAGTCCTCTTGTGAACAGAAAGCAAGGGCCAGGGAGATAGCTCATCAGCATAAGCACAAGGTCCTGAGTTCTATCTCTGGTACCAAAAAAAAAAAGAAAAGAAAGAAAGAAACAAAAAATGTAGTACAGTAAATGCTCTGCATTGTGTTTTACCTCTAATTTTCCTGCCTTAATTTACCTAGACTATCACTGTCATCTACAAGTTTCCCTCACTTCCAGTGGTGGAACCTCTACCACAGTCCATCTCAGTGCAGCTGTGGTGATTCTTCTCACTTTTGAAGCAATGATAAGATGCATGAATGAGTACTTCATCTCACTTTTTAACCTGATTTAGATATTCTCAAGTCGTCATTTTTTAAGTCTTTGCTTGTCCTACTACTCCAGCTCTTTCTTTTTGATCTGTTTTACACACAGTCATCTCCAGCTTCAGTTCATTGTTTTGTTTTTGTTTTTTCAGTACCAGGGATTGAACTCAGGACCTTGAGCTTGCCAGGCAAGCACTTAAGCTGCTGAGCTATATCCCCAGACCCTTGTTTGTTCTTACTTGTAAACAAGCAGTGATTTTGCACTCCCCTGCTAGATTATTTACACATACTGTTCTCTCTTGAGTGAGCCTTCCAGATCACCACTGACTTCTGTAACACCCAAATTCCTTAATGTTCCACACAGAGCCTCACACCCTAGTTGCTTCCAGCCTTATCTCTTACCAAAATTTCCTTTGAGTACCATGTGCAAACACAAAATAATTAGAGGGGATGGATAGGATGTTCTGGACAAGGGGAACAGAAACATAGTCAAAAGTTTAGCAACATGAAACCACAGACATTTGGGGATGTTTGAACAAATTTTCATCATAATACCTATAGTATTCTTGTGTAATAATAAATTCCTGAGGTAGGGACTTTGCCTTATTCATTTCTATATCCCAAAAGCTCTGCTGGCCACAATATCTCCTACCTGTATGAAGTTACTGTGGTGGGCTCAGATATGTCTGTACCCACTAGCAGGACAAACCTAGTCCTTCTAGAGGGAAAGAAGGTTAGCCCATTAACATGACAGTGAAAAGAGTGGCATTTGATGTTACTGCCAGAAAGGAATTTTGTGGAAGGGGGGCTCCCGCCTTAACTGAGAGGGTCCACCAGATGGGTAGCTGTGGTGTCCCTGGATCTTTCCAACCTCCTTGATGATACCATGGCTCTCAAAGCCAAGAAACTAAAGTCTGGATGGGGGCCAGGGAGATGGCTCAGTGGAATAAGCGCTTCCCTGGCAAGCACAAGGGCCTGAGTTCAATCCCCAGTTCTTTCAAAAATATAAAATAAAATAAACTCTGGATGATGTCATCACCAAAGCATGCAAAGCGAAATACCCCATTCTTAGGTACATACCGAGAAGAATTCTTTTGGTTTTTGACACAGGGTCTTACTCTATATCAAGCTGGCCACAAACTTGCAACAATCTTCTTAGCTCAGCCTCCCAAGTGCTGAGATTACAGACATGTGCCACCACGCCCAATTTGGTCATCGGCTCAGCACACCCAGGGGCATGGCCAGCATGGCATGTGGGACCAGGGATCAAACCCTGGTCCCTGAGCTTGCCAGAGCAGGCACTTAGTCCACTGAGCTATCTTGCTGGCCCTACTTCAGTACATCTTACAGAAAAAAAATTTTATGCTGGCCTCTTGGGATTATCAGTAGTTGAGTAACTGGGTTCACACACACACACACACACACACATACACACACACACACTTTCAGTTCTTATTAACTGAAGGCAAATCCTTCAGCTTCGAGTGCCTGTTTTGTTTTTTTGTTTTTGTTTTTAGTGGTAGAATGATGCTTTATTATTTCAAAATCCAAAAAGGCCCAGGTGTTCTTACCTTTTGATTTATCTTTGTTTAGGTCCGACCCAGCTGCTTTTGAGTCACGCCTGGAAAAGCGCACCGAGTTTCAAAAGCAACCAGTGGGGTACTCTAGGCAAGGTGATTTTGTCAAATGTGTGGAGCAGAAGGTAAGACCTTCCCCTTTTTGTGTGTGTTATTGGCTTACCAGCACTCCTGCCCACTTCTTCTAGCTCTATCCTTTATGTGGGCTCATCGATGGGTCAGCTTGAGTGATCTGAGCATAGCTTCTTTCTGTTGTATTCAGTCTCCAGCCATAAATGTGTGTCTTGTTTTTTCTAGGCAAAGTACTCTGTTCATGGTGGAGACAGAGAGGGAAGAAAAGTACAGTTAGTCCTGCTAGGTGTGCAATCTAGAAGTCAAGACAAGGCATATATGCTATCGGGCTACAGGAGTCAGTATAAGTTTCTCAGGGGAGAGTGAACCTGACTTATACTGGCAAGAGTCTTGGGGATTTAAAGCAAAGAAGAAAGAGTAGGGTAGAGCTTTAATGTAGGTCAGAGATCATCAAACTTTTTATAAAAGAACCATGTAGTAAATATCTTGGGCTTTGTAAGCCATGTGACCTCTGTTATAACTATCCAGCTCTGCTGCTACAGTACAAAAGCAGGCATAGACAATAAATGAATAGGTGTGCCTGTATTATAATAATCTTCATTTACAAAAACAGTTGGCAGCCTAGACCTAGTTTGCTGACAACCAACCTCTGCCTTCCCCCGTTCCACTCCCACTCTGTGATAAGGAATTAGCTTCAGCAGAGGAAAAGCTTTAAAAGTAAATGGAGGAGGCTGGGGATTTGGCTCAGCAGTAGAATCCTTGCCTAGCAAGCTGGAAGCCCTGGGTTTGGTCCTAGGCACCAAAAACAAAAATTAAACCTCCTCTAAGAGTAAAGGGAGTTCTTGGAAAGACTTTGCCCAATTCCTGTGTCTCCAGAGCCCACCAAGAGCTCCACTGTTCAGAATAACCATAGTAAACTCATTTGGGTAGAAGTGCAAATGAGTAGAGGCAGGATAACTGACCTGCTAAGAGGATGGACTGTGCAGACAGATGCTAGCAACGGACTCTTAGGTCTTTTATTTACTAGCTCTTCCATTTACTAGTGAATTGTATAACTTCTCCAGGTCTCAGTGTGTTTCTCTTTGAAATAGGAATAATAACAGTACCTATCTCATAGAGCTGTGTAGGAGAGTAAATGAAATCATGCAACACTTTTTAGCATAGTCCTAGCACATAATAAATACTTAATACATATTAGCTGTTGTTATCCTTAGGCAGGAATCAAAGCTGGCAAAAGGCATATGAAAAGATTAACACAGTATTATTCACATTATTTGATCATGGCCTATACTAAGAAATACATTGTATGTTGCAATGTAGTACAAATGGTATAATTATAACAAATTTTTTATGAAACAATCGTTACTTTTGGGTGTTTTTTTGTTTTGTTTTTCTGTTTTTTGTTTTGGTACCAAGAATCAAACTCAGGTCCTTGTGCTTGCCAGGCAGGTGCTATGCCACTGAGTTACATTCTCAGCCCAATGATAGTTGCTTTTATGGCATGCAATACTTTCCTTTTCATCTGTTGAAAATCCAATGGCGGTCCAATGATCTTGTATTCAAAGATTTGAAAAATGCTAATTTGGAAGAGTGCACAAAACAAATTGGAGTGGAAAAGACTGGAACAAAGGAAAATATGCAGTAGTCTAAGTCTAGGTATTAGAGAACCTGGAATAAGGAAGTTACAGAGGAAAATTGGGATTGTACATTGTATTTGAAAGTCAAATTAGAGATGTTTGTTTTACTTGGAAAATAACTTTTTTCGCTTTAGATGTCCTGAATTTTGAGAGCCCATACTCCGCCTTAATAACTAGTTGAGTCAGAACAAAATTAATAGTCAGTGGACTAATATGATAAAGTTAGGGAACAAATTCAACTTCGTATGGTAAAACAACTTCCGTACTACAAATATTTCAACAGTTGTGATTTTCTTTTTTTTTTTTTAATTATGTATTTGGTTGTTGCAGGGTCTCATTACACAGCTTGGACTCGTAGTGATACTCTTGCTTTCAGCCTCCCTAGTGCTGGAGTTACAGGCATGTGCCACTGTGCCCAGACTCTGACCAGCTCAGCTCACCCTAGATGTGGAGCTGGCGCAGCATGTTGTGCCAGGGATTGAACTGTGGCAGTCCCTGTGCTTGTCTAAGCTTGCCTAAGTAGGTGCTTTAGTCTGCTGAACTATCTCACTAACCTAACAGTTGTGATTTTCTATAATGAACATTTACAGGAGCAAAATTACAGTTGGTGGGTCTTAGAAATATTACTGTGTTATAAACTTTCAATTTTGGGCCAGGGAGATAGCTCAGTAGAATAAGCGCTTGCCTAGCAAATGCAAGGGCCTCAGTTCAATCCCTGGTTCCACAAAAAAAAAAAAGAAAGAAAGTTTCAATTTTATATAGGAAAGTCTCTACTTCTTTTTTAAGTAAACTTAAAAAGTTGATTTATAATGTTAAGATATAAAATAAGTAAATTATGGCAGTGCTTAAGTAAATACTCACTGTCTTCCTTATCTACTAGGCAGAGGGTGGGTAATGGCTGACACACACTCTTGACTCTCAAAGCCTTCTCTTTACTTTGGGTCATCTGTTCCCTGCCACATGGGACTCAATATCCTCTTTTTATAATAAGTTGTATTAATTCTCCCTCTCCTAACTGCAATAAAAGAATATAGTTAGGTGGATTATATAACCTACGTAAACACATAATTTTGGTGAGAAAATCAGTATAGTGCTTTAGCCATAATTCAAGTATTTTTAAATAAAATATACATTTAAATTCTTGGTTGTTTCCTTATTTGTAAAATAACCGTGAGTACATAATCAACAAATGCTGACCAGTATAGAAATGTTGTGTTGATAGTTATAAAAACCCCAAAGCATGAGAAGTGTGTTATCAGTGTCCTGAGATGCTATGCTGTACAGTCTTCTCTCAGGCTATATAGTGATTATATTTCTGGGAAAGCCAATGTCTATTAAAGCTGTGCATTTTATAAATTATGTAATAGGCCAGGTAATTACAAAATGGTTTCGCCTACAAGAATGCCTGTTGTTATATATAAATTCACCTGTAAAAATGCTGCACATTTGGCCCTCCTCCCCTCCACAGATATCACCATTCAGTCAGTTATTATAACAATAAAAAAAGGGCCAGCCAAATAGCTTAATGGATTAAAGCACCTACAAGCAGGCACAGGGGCTGAGGGTTCGATTCCTGGGCCTGCCATGCAGACCGACTCCTGGGACGCACTGAGATGGCAATTGAGTCTGGGCATGGTGGTGTGCCCCTGTAATCCCAGCACTTGGGAGGCTGTAAACAGGCAGATCACTAAGAATCCAATCTAGTAGTGAGACCCTGAACACCCTGTAGATCCTTCCCTAAAATACAAAAAAAAAAAAAAAAAAAAATTGTCCTCACAGATTTCCAGAGTATAGGAGAAAAAATAAAGCAGTCATTTCAATCTTTCATTTAGTGCTTTGAAAACTTTTGCATATAAGTTAAACTATTTTAATTATTTTATTTCATCAGTTTTAAGGTCCAGGGTTGTGTTTTCTTCCCACACTTTAGCATCTTCAAAATAGTTTCAGAGGACTGGGGTTATAGGTCAGTGGACCACACCTCCTGGCAAATGAGAAGTCCTGAGTTCCTAATACAAAAAACAAAGGGAAGGAACTCTGGAGCAAAATTGTCTCAAGATTGATGTGATATCAAAGTATTATATTACTGTTAACTAGCACATTATTGTCTGATACATAAAATAATGACAAATTTTTAAGATTAGTGATATCTTAGATTGGATAAGTTATAATAGGCCTATACTTTGGGATATTTTTATTTTTTTATAAGTGAAAATAGATGGGGCCAGGGAGATGGCTCAGTAGAATAAGCACTTCCTTGGCAAGCACAAGGGCTTGAGTTCAATCCCCGGTTCTGCCAAAAAAAAAAAAAAAAGAAAAAAGAAAACAGAAACAAAGAATGTATTTAAAGATCAATGCAGGGAAAAAATACAAGAGGGGGCTTGGTGATTGAAAGGTGAAATTTGAAAACTTTCAAATGAAAGTTTTGTTTTGTTTTCATGGTATACCTAAGGGTGAATGATATAAAGATGAAGTCATTTCTCTCCTTTTTAGATGGCTTGAATATAAAGAAATAGCTATCCTAGAATGCTATAATAATAAATAATGAAGACAGTATATAGGAGTATAGTCAGATACACCAAATACTATCCAACAAGTTTTTTTGCAACAAGCTTTTATCTAATTTGAGTACAATCTCTATGAGCATCATGAAAAATTTGGACTCATTAAATCATGTAACCATTCCACATGTAGACTATTCTTTCGCCTCTGAAAACATCCTTGTTTTTCTCCCTCCCTCGTACCTGGGATCATAGACCTGAACCACCGCAACAGGCTTAAAAGCCTAATACTGAATTTAGAGAATGAATGGAAGACTCAGAATCATCAGCTATCTATCAGCCATTCCTCCTACCAGAAACTATCAAAGTAAGATTTCCAGGCTGTGACTTCTGTCAGAGATAGGAAGCAAGAGAGAAAATAGTCACTTTCCCTTGTTCTTGACCTTTTTTGAGGTAGTGTTTCATTTGATAGAGGGACTATCAAGACTTAAGTCCCCTCCGGACTCTGCCATCAGAGGTATTGTCAGTGATACAATGCAGACATAGAAAAGACATCTTTGTGTTTCTTACCCCTCTTTGTGTCTGTGTTGAATAGGTCAGTGGGGCGGAGCACAGGCAACCTAAGCTGATCTAATGCTGGGAAGGAATATCTCATAGTCACGGTGGCAGGTATAGGTTGAACTTCCAGAGCTACCAGTACTAACCAAAAAAAAAGAAAATTTCTTCTATTTCCACATTTGAGAATCTTAGAGGAAAGTTGTTGCAGAAACGGTAACTTTTCAAAAGCGGGTGCTGTTGTTTTAAAGAATGGAAAGCAGAAATTGAAGAGTGGAGATAGGCCCAAAAGTGAGTCACCAGGTGTAAAGTTACTTAATAAGATTGGATACTGCAGCTAGCTCGGTTTTATTTTTCTTATAAAATATAGATTAATACCCTCTCATTATGTATTTCAGACAGATGCCTTGAAGAAACAGCCTGTGAGCAAAGGATTCACTAAAGACAAGGTAAGTCTCTAAATACTGAGATCCAAGTCTGAAGTCATGCGAGACATCTGTAACAAGGGCTGCAAACCTGAGCATATTTCCTGTGATTCAGTGGTTTTCTTGTTTATTTGCTTTTGTTTTTTTGTGGTACCGGGGATCAAACTCAAGACCTTGTGCTTGCCAGGCAGGTGCTTACATTGCCACCGAGCTATCTCCCCGACCGATTCAGTGGTTTTGTATAAGGTCATTTTCCAACTGTAGAGATGAGATATGAATTTTTGTGTTCTTAACATGACTGTAGCTGAGGTATGAGTCATGGTAATGCTGAAAGAAATTTGAAGGAAGTGTAGTGAAATTTCTCCTTTCTCTAGGGAGTCGTTAAGAAATTAAATAAAAATATAGTGTGTCAATTTATTTACTTAAATAAGGAGCTTCCCCAGATAGAATAGCAGTTAAATTAAAAATAACAACCAAGCTTTCCTCCTTTTACCAGCAGCAATGAGTTGCAGCATTTACTGGTGAGATTGAAACAGCTGGGAAGTACATGGTTACCTGACAGACATTCCCTAGGAGTAAAGCTGTGAAAGCTGGTATGGGCTTGGCGGTTCTCTCAGCATGCACTTTTCTTATGCTTGTAGTGTACTTAATTGAAGATCTGCTTCACTATCTCACAATGCTGAGACAGAGTTAAGATACAAGATTTTTGTTGTTGTGGTGATTTTTTTTGTTTGTTTATTTGTGTTTTGCTGTACCAAAGATCAAACTCAGGACCGTGTACTAGTGTTGCTATTTCCTAATTACAGATGTTAATTGCTTTTTATTTTCTCTTTTTAAGACTCTCAGTTCTATCTTTAACATTGAGATGGTGAAAGACAAAACTGCAGAAGAAATAAAACAGGTAATGAAAGACATCATGTTGGTATACTCCATGAAAATGTGTTCCATGAACCAAATCTGAGTAGAAAGGACCATTCCTTTTTTGACACTTTTTCTAGCAGAAATGAAAAATAGTAATAATGGACAAAACTAATGAATTCCATGAACAACAGGGGCATAAGAAAACTTATCTTTCCTGGTCTTGCTCTTATAGCTAATCAACTTGTATTTCTCTTTCTTTTTCATTCCACTTGCCACTTGTTACTTAAAATCATTAGTACTCTATACCTGAGTGCAGTACTACCTTTCTAGGTAGGTTTCCCTACTCCCATTTCTCTCACTTTGCCTATCATATCCTCACCAACCAAGTCCTCTTAAAGTTACTCTTTCCTAGTGCAGGGACAAAGCATTAGACAAGCATGTCATTTAGGAGACCTGACGAGGAGGTGACATTTAGACCTGTAATTTTAGATACAAATTTGTGTTCTTTGGGATAATTTTTAAGTAATACAGAGCAACTGAATTAGGAAATATCTCCTAGTCTTACAAATTTCAGTGTTGATTCATAAACTATCTACTAATATCATAAATTAAATCAAAATACTATAATTGGAATATGCTATTCTTCAAATGAGAAGATAGTGTTATAATATTCTTTTTTTAAAGGACAAAGCAACATTAGGATCCTTTAATAAGGGCCGGGGAGATGGCTCAGTGGGATAAGCGCTTCACTGGCAAGCACAAAGGCCTGAGTTCAATCCCCGGTTCCGCAAAAAAAAAAAAACAAGTAAAGTTAATTTCGGGCTGGTGAGATGGCTCAGTGGTCTAAAGCACCTACTTAGAACAAGCTTAGCAAAGCACAGGGACCACTGTTCAATCCCCTAGCACCACATGCCAGCCAGCCCTGCCCCCTGGTGGGCTGAGCTGGCCACACACAAATAAATAAATAAATAAATAATCCTTTAATAAAATGGTTTCCCTAGGCTCTAGGAGGTAGAGACTTTTGTGCTCTGTGTTGATGAGACAGATCACACATTGACTGTATTGACAGTTGGGGCGTTACGTTTTGGTGAGAATGTTGATAGTACTGAGCAGCCCTAAAAGAGAATGGCTAGCTCACTCAGATGTCGTCTTGGTTGTGGTGCCTTTCCTGACTTCTAGGCCTTGCTGGTGATGTCACTCTCTGCTTAGAGTATGTCTCTTTCTCTTCTTGTTCTACCTGTTCATTTTCCTGCCTCTATCTACCCCACTCCTAATTATTCTCCAGAATATCTAAGTGCCCCTTCCTCTGGCAAACTTCCTAGCCTGATTTAAGTGCCTCTTTCAGTAGCTCTGTGTTAATAGCCTTGGAGGAGACAAATATATTTCTTATTAAATCACAATGGTCTGTCATCCACTCAGCAGTTCTGAGTACTTTTTGGTTTGCAGGACATTGGTGACAATATAAGCAGATATTCTACCTATAAGAATTGTTTGAGCTACTGAGGGAGAGGAATCCACAAGTAAATAGCCTTATTATGAGGGAGCATATCATAGTCATCTTTAGAGAGAAACAAAAGCAGCCAGGTATGGTGATGCATGCGTATAATCCCAGCACTTGGGAGGTTAAGGCTGAATGATTGTCCTGAGTTTGATGCCAGCCTGGTTTACATGGTGAAACCCTGTCTCAAAAAACTTTAAAAAAAAAAAAAGAAAGAAAGAAAGAAGTGTAGGGCTCAGTAGAATAAGTGCTTCTCTGACAAGTACAAGGGCCTGAGTTCAATCCCCAGTTCCAAAAAAAAGAAGCGTAAGAGCAATTCAAAGGAAGGTTTCTGACTGAAATGGTCAAGGGAGACTTCATGGAAGAGGTATATAGGCTCAGCTTTGAGTAACTGGAAATCTTTGTAGAGTCAGAGAGGAGCAAAGACTTTCCAGTCAGAGCTAATAATGTGAAAAGAAATGGAGGATAATAAGGAGGATAATAAGATAATAGTAAAACACAGAGCATATATATGATATGGTAAGGGACAAAAGCAAAGGACAATGTTTATGCCCTATATCTATGTATGAATACTATAAAAGAAAAGAACATTCCTAAGAAATACTAGAAAAAGATATATCACAATAACAACACTGAGTCTTTTAGAGTGGTAGAGCTAGGGCTGGCAAGATAGCTCAGTGAACTAATTGCCTGCTTAAGCAAGCACAGGGACCAGGGTTCAATTCCCAGTACCACATGCCACTCCAGCCCTGCCCCCAGGCACACTGAGCCAGCCACCAAGACCAGGTGTAATGGCACATGCCTGTAATCACAGTGCTGGGGTGGCTGAAAACAGGAAGATCACTAGGAGTATGAGCTGTGTAGTAAGACCCTGTACAAAATATATAAATAGAGTGGTAGAACTATGAGCATAGTTTTCCTTTTCTCTTATTGTAATTTTATTCCTTTCCATTTGGCATTTATGTCATGAAAGTTAAATGTCCTCCCTTGTTCTTGATGCCAGACAGAAGTAGAACTTCTGACTGATAGTTTCCTGAATCTAACTGTGCTGTGTATCTCTTCTTCATATGGAAAACTCTCCATATGGTATATTTATGGCTTTTATTTTCCTTCTTCCCTTGGAAGCAGGGCTTCCAAGCTGCCTATTATGGGACAACACTAGCTGGTAAAACTAACATTATTTTTAGTGTTTACTTCCAGGCTAAGAGTTATAGTGTATTAATTGAACTAGTCTTTAGTACAGTACTGTGGGGATATTATTATTATTTTATTGATATTACTTAAGGAGTTTCAGTGATAAGCCCAAGGAGGCATAACTCGTAAGTGATTGTAGCTAGGATTTGCATCCAACTCCTGACCTTTCCAAATAATTGATGCGCTGGTTCTCTGAGAAGACCCATAGCTGGCTGGGGTGGTGTAAGTCTGGAGAAGGAAGAAAAAAGATAAGAAAAAGGAGGTTGTCTGTTACATACAAGGCACATTTTGAGAAGAATGATTTCAAAGGTCATAGAATCAGTTTCTCTGACAGAGTTTGTTATTAAGAATTACAGTTTAACCATCTATGAGTGTATGATGTTAAATCTTTTTTATAATCATGCACTAGTTACAAAAGCATTACAATAGGTTTTTTCTCTTCATTATCAAATAACTTATTACTCTTAGCAGTGAACGCTGTCACCATTTCTTATCACAGGTTGAAAAGATTACCCACATGTCACAGGCCTCCTGGTTTTTTTTGTACAGATTTGGCAGCAGTATTTTGCAGCAAAAGATACAGTCTACGCAGTCATTCCCGTAAGTAGTTTGGAGGGGAAATGAAGTGTTACAGCATGAAGGTCAGTACGGTAACCTCAGCAGGCAGTTGCCTTTACTTTTCCTGTGTTTATGGCCTCTTGAGAACTTGGATTTTACAGCTCTGAGGGTTTTTATTATGCCCTAAGCACCAAAGATTGGAAGCTCCATCTGGTATATTTATGGCTTTTGTTTTCCCTCTTTCTGGTTTAGAAATGTCTTTGAGTCAAGTCTCTTGACAAGGGAGCATGTTATAACTTTGTGTTACTCAGTGATTTCCAGATGTCTTTTTTTTTTTTTTTTTTTTTTTGGTATTTTCAACCAAGCTGCTGGGATTTAAGACAGAGCCTCAACATAGCTTTCTTTCCTTTATGTCTATAAATGACATATGCCCATGGTGACTTAAGAGCTTTCTCCTAGTCTTTCTTTCTAGTACATGGCATTGTCTTGTTTTTTCCCTTGAAATTTCTCTTAGAGATTTACATTGGTCACTTAACCATTAAGGTCTGAGCCTAAGTAGGAATACTGCTTTCTGGTTTGCTGTTTTTCTGCTAATAGGAATTAAAAAAAAAAAAAAAAAATAGGGTGTTGCTATATAGTTCAGGCTAACCTGGACTCATTATGTAGCCTAACCTGGGCTTGAACCTTCAGTAATCCTCCTGCCTCAGCCTCCCAAGTGCTGGGATTACAGGGGTACACCACCACTCCTGGCTTCAGGAAAACTTTTGAAATATTGAGTTCCTAGCTAGTTCTTCACTTGTCCAAGTCAGGCCTTTTGGTTATTACATGAGTGTCAGTTTTAATATTTTGGCCTTTTATACATAAACACTTTTCATGAGTTCAGTAGTTCAAACAGTCTGGCTGTGATAAAATCAGCATGGTACTGACAAAAAAAACAGACCTGAGGATCAGTGGAATAGATTAGAAATGCAGATACAACTATAAACGCCCTCAGCCACCTTATTTTTGACACAGGGGTCAAACATTCACTGGAAGAAAGATAGCTTCTTTAATAAACAGTGCTGGAAAAGCTGGTTTTGCACATGCCAAAGACTAAAATTAGATCCATGTCTCTCACTGTGCACTAAGCTAAAGTCAAAATGGATCAGGGATCTAAATATTAAAACAGAAATGCTAAATCTACTGGATGAAAAAATAGGTAGAAATCTTGAAGACAGAGGTAGGCAGACAGTTCATGAACAAAAACCAAACTGCACAGGAAATACTTCAGAGAATCAACAACTGGGATCTCAGCTTATTAAAAAATTTTGCACATCAAAAGAAATCACCAACATAGTGAAAAGAATCTATGAATTGGGAACAAATTTTAGCTAACTTTCCCTCAGACAAAGGACTTCTATCTATATAGAACATACAAAGAGTTTAAAAAAAAAGTCAGACCCAGTCCAAAAATGGGCATCTGAGATGAATATACACTTCTCAGATGAAGAAATACAAATGGCAATTAAATATATTTGTAAAAACCATTGTTCTGCATCTTGTTCATTTATGAAATGCAAAATAAAACAACTTTGAGATCCCATCTCACCCCAGAAAGACCGGCTGCAGTCAAGAAATCAACCAATTAAAAAAAAAAGAAAAAGAAAAAGAAAAAGAAATCAACCAATAACAAATACTGAGGGGCTATGTGGAGAAAGGAACCTTCTCCATTGTTGGTGGGGATAGACTGGTGCAATGATTGTGAAAGTTAGTGTGGAGATTTCTCAAAAAACTAGAATTAGAGGGGCCGGGGAGATGGCTCAGTGGAATAAGCGCTTCTCTGGCAAGCGCAAGGGCCTAAGTTCAATCCCTGGTTCCGCCAAAAAAAAAAACAAACTAGAATTAGAAATCCTATTTGACCCAGCTATTCCACTTCTGGGTATTTTCCCAGAAAGAGTTAGAAACATCATGCCACAGCAATATATGTGCACCCATGTTCATAGCAACACAGTTTATAGTAGCTAAATCTTGGACACAAGCCAAAAGCCCATCAACTGAGGAATGGATAGAAAAGATATGGTATTTTTATACAATGGAGTACTACTCATAAAGAAGGATAAACTTGAGACTTTTATAGGCTAATGGATGCAGCTAGAGACCATACTCATAAGTGAAATTATTCAAACTTGAATGTGTAAACACCTACTGTCTCTCTAGTGTAAGAAACTGAAAAGAGTAAAATCCAAAAAGTGTAATAAATATAGTGAAAAGAAAAACTGCTCAAAAGGAAAGAACAACTGGGATGTAGCAAAAGAGAAAAGAAGGAAGGGGAAAAAAGAAAGAAAAAAAATATATATGTATAATACAAGATAGCTGAGATAATTGTACTACTAATTTCTATTCATTGAATGGGATAGTTAGTGCATATATTGTTTGATCAGTTTTACATGCCTGTATCTGGTAATCTGAGCAACTACTTTGAAGCTAACTATGCAATATAGTAACCATTATTAATTTCTTATGTTGTTTTGAAATTCTGTATCATTTTTATTGGATTTTTTTTTTCTCTTTAAAGTAAATTTAAAGGGGCCGGTGAGATAGCTCAGTGGTCTAAAGTGCCTGTTTAGGCAGCTTAGGCAAGTGCACAGGGACCACAGTTCAATCCCTGGCATCAAATGCTGTGCCAGCCCAGCCCCCAATAGAAAAGCATTGGTTAGTTGTAGTATAATTCTAGAATTTAGTCTTTATTAGCTTAATTGTGATTGTGATCTCTTGTGTTTTCCTGTTTATGAGTTAATTTTACTCTTTTCCAACTTACAGAAAGAGAAGTTTGATTTGATGTGGAACCGGGCTCAGTCCTGTCCAACAGTAAGTTCCTAGTGGCCGTGTGAAAACTGTTTATCAATGCTGCCAAACAAGAATGCTTTCCAACGAGCCTCCTCCTATTCCCTGCCTCTCACATGTTCATTTAACAAAGAAGCTTATATTTTAATGTAATTTTCTAATTTTCTAATAAATTATATGATTTTGGGGGCCAGGGAGATAGCTCAGTAGAATAAGCACTTGCATGGCAAGCGCAAGGGCCTGAGTTCAATCCCCGGTTCCACAAAAAAAAAAAAAAAAAAAAAAAAAAAAAAAAGATATGATTTTGTATTAATTTTCTAATAAATGATATTTTCACCCTATGAAATTATATGGGTTTGACCTCATAACCACTGCCTTTTTGGGTGTTTATGACAAGCCTTACTGAAGTGAACTTAACCCTACTGGAAGGTATCTGAGACTTTCCTCTTCACAGTATCCTTCAAGGTCCTGTTCTATTGGCAGTTTTCTTTGCTGTTTTGGCTATGCTGTCTTGCCACTCTGTGCCTAAAAGCAGTTATGAGGTTGTTGTTGCTTGAGTAAAGAGCTGACAGAAGACACCAAGAAAAGAGAGTGAATAGTTGAGCTGGTGGTGATCATGATTGACAGTTTTTTCAAAATAATTTTCCAAACTTAGTTCTCCCCAAATTGATCTCTAGATTAAATACAATTGAAATTAAAATCAGCACTGGCCAGATAGCTCAGCAGACTAAGATGCCTGCTTACACAGGTACAGGGACCAGGTTTCTGGGCATGGTGGTGTGCGCCTATAATCCCAGCACTTGGGAGGCTGAAAACAGGAGGATCACTATGAGTCAATCTGTGTAGTAAGACCCTGTAGATTCTAAAGAAAATCCCAATAGGATTTTGATTTGCATGAATGAAATCATTGTGTTATTGGTGTATAAATCAGTGGAGAGAATAGGAACAGACCAATTTATCAGTGGTTAGTTGTTTTCAACAAAGATGCTAGCATCATTAAATAAGGAACAGGTAATCAGTTCAATAAATTATGCTAAAACAATTGCAAAGGGCTGGTGAGATGGCTCAGTGGTCTAAAGCACCTACTTAGAACAAGCTTAGCAAAGCACAAGGGACCGCGGTTCAATCCCCCAGCACTACATGCCAGCCAGCCTGCCCCCTGGTGGGCTGAGCTGGTCACACACACATACAATAAATAAATAAATATTTAAAAATAAAAAATATGGGGCTGGAGAGATGGCTCAGTGGTCTAAAGCACCTACTTGAAACAATCTTGGCAAAGCACAGGGACCGCGGTTTGATCCCCAGCACCACATGCCAGCCAGACCCGCCCCCTGGTGGGCTGAGCTGGCCACACACACACACACAATAAATAAATGTAATAAATAAAAATAAATAAATATTTAAAAAATAAAATAAATAAATAAATAAATAAAATAAAAAATAAATAAATAAATAAAACAATTGCAAAAACATGTGCGCACAGGACCAGCCAAAAAGCTCAGCAGATTAAAGTGCCTGCAAGCAGGTGCAGGGGCTGGGGGTTCGATCCCTGGGCTTGCTATGCTGGCCCCACCCCCAGGGAACACTGAGATGGCAATTGAGACTGGGCGTTATGTGCGCACACCTATAATCCCAGCTCTTGGGAGGCTGTAAACAGGAGAATCACTATGAGTCTGATCTAGTAGTGATATCAATCAAAAAATGTTGGCCTGCCTTGAGTATTGTATCATTGAAATAAACCAATTTATCTAACACCTTAAAAAAAAGAAAGAAATGAAAGAAGTAATCTTATTGAGAATCAGTTTGACAAAGATTTCTGATGTCACAAAAAGCATAAGCCATTAAAAAATATTAATTTTAATTTAATTAAAAATGAAATATTTTAGGGCCAGTGAGATGCCTCAGTGGATTTGCCTGCTTAGGCAAGTGCAGGGACCAGGGTTCCATCCCTGGCACCACATGCCATGCTGGCCCCAATGAGCCAGCCACTGAGTCCGGGCATGGTGGCGCATACCTGTAATCCCAGCACTGGGGAGGCTGAGACAGGAGAATCACTGTGAGTCCAAGCTGCACAGTGAGACCCTGTACAAAATTTTTAAAAAAGTAAAATTTTTATTTGTACACTCATGTTCCTTGCAACATGAGTTCCAGTGGCCAAAATATAGGAGTAACCCAAGTTATATTTCTAACTCATAACTCAATAATGAAGCCAGGGAAATAGCTCAATAGAATAAGTGCTTGCCTGGCAAGTGCAAGGTCCTGAGTTCAATCCCCGGTACTGCCAAAAAACCCCAAGAAAACAGACAGTGTAATTTAAAAATAGTCGAGAATTTTAACTAAATAGTTCACCAAAGCCAAGCTCAGTGGTAAATACATATAATCCTTGCTACTTAAGAATCTGAAACAGGACTTTGAGTTTGAGGCTAGCCTGGGCAATATAATAAGACAATATCTTAGAAAAAAGAAAAAGAGAGAGAGATAGTTTTCCAAAGAAGCAAAATGACACATAAACACCTGAACTCATTAACCATAATAAGAATGCAAATACATATATATACTAAAACTATAAAATCTGGAAAGGAATGAGAGATGCCAAATCAGAATAGATGTTAAGCTCTAATGGGATTCAAACGGGATACAGAGAAATCTTCAAATTGATCTCTAATGATGTCTTTCTTATTTGGGTGCATGAGGGCTTATTATATATTAATATATATTATTATATATTAATTTCATAATTACAGGGTCTCACTACACAGATCAGACTCATAGTGATCCTCCCATTTTCAGCCTCCCAAGCACTGGGATTGCAGGTGTGTGTCACCACGCCCAGTCTCAATCTCCCTCTCAGTGCACCCCAGGGGCGGGGCCAGCATATGGTGCTGGGCATAAAACCCTGTCCCTGTGCTTGCCTAAGCAGGCACTTTAGTCTGCTGAGCTATCTGGCTGGCCCTCATAATTGTTTTTAGTTGAAAAACTGGAGTGAGAAATACAAGTGGTGGGACATAGAACAGATGACTTTTCTTTTCTCTCCCCTTATGTACTGTATCCCACAGTTTCTGTGTGCACTGCCAAGAAGGGAAGGTTATGAGTTCTTTGTTGGACAATGGACAGGTACTGAACTCCACTTCACTGCACTTATAAATATTCAGGTATGTGGCTTGTGTTCTACTAAGCACAAGGGGGGAGGAAAGAAGCCTATCATTTGGTGGGACTAGGACCAATTGCTAAGACTTGGGAACACAGAGTATCTACTGATTCCTAGCAGTACTTGCTGGGGCACTGATGAATTTTCATACTTTGCATGTTGTACTAGTTTTTCTCAGTAACAAGAAATAAGAAAAGACCCCAGACAGAGGGGTCAGAGGTTTGATCCCCCGTCTGCCATGCCGGCCCCAGCCCCGGGGCATGCTGAGACAACGATTGAGACTGGGTGTAGTGGCAGGCGCCTGTAATCCCAGCACTTGGGAAGCTGAAAACAGGAGGATCACTATGAGTCCAATCTGTGTAGTGGGACCCTGTAGACCCTGCACTAAATTTTTAAAAAAGACACCAGAACCCTTCATCTAACCACATCTGGCCCTCTTTTCTCTCTTCCTCAGACCTCTATAGCATTTACTGCTTGCACCTCACTCAAAAAACATGAATAAATTAGGATGGTATCTTTTTAACCCAAACAACAAGCCTAATGAGGAAGGCTCCATGTCTTACATGTTTTTATTAACCAAGTCAACACATTCCAAGGTGCTAAGTGAAGTTTCCATTTAATGTTATTTTATTTGACTCCTTTTTTATTTGTTTTATTCCTATATATTAGATTTAAAGTTAGAATCTAAGCATTTGAAACTTTTAAGATGAAAGTCAATATTTTAAATAATAAAGATTGACCAGGGCTGGTGAGATGGCTCAGTGGTCTAAAGCACCTACTTAGAACAAGCTTAGCGAGTCCTAGCCCAGGTCCAGTGAGTGTGTGGAGAGCTTCCTGCTACCCTGCGCCGGCGGGACCAGTCCCAGCCCAGGCGCAGCGTGGGC